GTACAACCCTTTTCCCTTCTGGATTCTTGACCCTTATCAGATCTTGTAACCATATTAATCTCACATTCCTTACAGATTTCTCTACTCGATTTGCACATTTGATAATTTCTGACTGCGAATCGAAATCAATTTGCTGACCATCAACGCCCATGAGGTTGAGGTCTCTTGCCAGGTCTGACCTGAAAAGCCTTTTAGCCCAACAGTTGCCTTTTCCTCCGACCTCCGCACAATTTCCTCCCAATTTCCCGCACCCATCCTGTAGATCCTTGACTGTGCTGATTATTTTATGCCTGGACGAACGGTCAGACGGTGTCATGTTGTTGCCGGCCCCTTGGATTTTTGATAAATTTTCCATATCGTTAGCAGCAGCAGCAGCTGATGAGGAACGGGGGGTTGGCAAGGACCCTTTCAGGGTCCGTTTTAAAGGGTGCTTTCTCCCCATTTTTCACTTGCTCTTTTTTGAGTCAGGCAAGTTGCACAATTTGTTGTAATACAATATTTTGGCCATTAGGAGCCAGAAGTTGGGAACAGGCAAATGGCCACTGACTTTGTTTGCTCCGCAATGTTTGCGCTTTTCTGTTTTTCTGCCTGCCATTTTCCTTACAGTTTGAACCTTCGTACGTTCCGCAAGTGGTGGGTGGAAAACTGAGAAGACTGAAATGCAGGAATATCGAGTTCAAAAAGAAAGGGTAAAGCATTCCTATCTCTTGAGGACTATTTGATATTTAAAAGAAATCAATATTACAGTAATTTAAGTTAAAGTTCTTTGCTTAAGTAAAATGCTCTTCTGTTTTCTTTATATAATTCTTCTATCAAAACAAGGTGCTCACCCATATTATATGTAATTCATGCCTTCAGTAAATACAGATAACTTAAATATTTATATTTTATTCCTTTAGGGTATCCCACCACTGCCTCTTAACATTGCTGATTCACTCAGATTGCTTAGGATTGCTTTTGGTTTGACCCAATCGTAATCCGACCAAGTTGAGGAATTGTGCTTCGAACATTTTTGGGCATAGCCAACACATCTCCTTCATCTTCTGTTGTTTTTTTTTCGTAACCTCCCTAACTCCCAGTCGTTGACTGCTTAATGGAACGTAAAGTCTGCATGATTAATAGACGTCAGTCGGTCGTTCGTCTGAGCCTCGTCAGACATTAATGCTAAGTCCCACCGAAGCCCAAAAATATACACTTTTTTGCTCTCTCTACGCTCTAATGATTTCAATAAAGCTACAAGAAAGAAAAAGCCTTAAAGAAGTCAACACACGGGTCTTTTATTTTGTTTCAATTTGCTTAGGGGCGTTTTCTGACCGGATCGGACAAAATTGAACCGAACTGAACTGAAAAACTGGCTCCCAAACTGTTTGTCTTGTCCTGTGACATTGTGTGCTTCTTGGCCTCTTTTTGGCCTTTTCTGACATTTATTTTAATTGAAATGTGAAAATTTTCCTATGATTAGTATCAGTTTTCCAATAGAAAGTCAATATTAACATATAATATAAAGTGTTAACCTAAACATACACTTTTAAATTTAACACAAACTTAATACACAATGTATGTAAGCACAGTTTTAATTTAAAAATCTGAAATAAGCACTAGTTTAATATTACCATATTATCATCACTTTATGAAATTTGTAAAATGGAAATTAAATGCTATTTTAAGTAAAAATAGTTATCTCTAAAGGAAAAATTCCATCCACCAATTTTATATTTATATTTAATGCTCCAATAAATTAGACATCAAACACGTTTTATGCAATTTGTTCCGTCAAAACGCTGTCACCGAAAAGTGCCATGAAATATGTACGAATGTTTTGGATTACTGTTGATGAACATTTGCACTCCCCCAATGATTTATTTGAGTTTGAGGCACCTTTAGTACCTGCTGCTTATGTCAACGACAATAAATAAAAGTAGAGAAAACAACAATGAGAAAAGAAAATAGAAACAATCGAGGGGCTTCCATCAATTGGGCAAATGCAGAGATAAACTTCAACAAAAGCTTAGTGGCTCAAAATGTTTTTGTCTGGCAAACACAGGACATTGATACATCCCTCTGTGTGTATGTGTGTGTTTGCATGTGTAAGTGTTTTCTATCTATTGCAACAATCTGTGTGAGTGCGTGTGTGAATAATCAAAACATATACAAAGCAGAAGAAAAAACACTAACCCACACAGAGACTCAGTTGCTTTGGCCATTGTGGCGACACAGTTTTATTTAAACAAAAGCCTACTTGAGCTTATGCTCAGTTTGCCAGCAACAATTTAATGGCAATGTACGGTTGTATGTATTAGTTTCGGGGTATTAGTGTGTACACATGTAGCCCATAATGCCAACATATGCATCATCTGCTGGGTAGCTATTTGGGCTATATAAGTTTTCTATGCAAATGTGCGTTGCAGATATATATTATATTTTCAAAATATATAGAATTTTTCGAATCCTCGAACTTTAACTTATAGCTAAATATCCAAGTTTTTAGGAAGTTCTAAATTTCTAAAATATAGCATACTTAGTTGGGTAAATATTTTTCTCAGAACTAATCAGAACTTGTTAATCAAACTTTTAAAGCTTCAAGAGTGACACGTTTTCGGAACTCTTTGAAGCCGCAAACATAATTAAATCGACATGAAATACCAGGAAATATGTATAAAGAGAGAAAGGCCACCGCATTCCACAAGATTATTTTGACCCCTGACGATTTGTTCGCTTTACTTTTTATAAAGTGAGTCAAGGGCAATTCTTACTATGGGCTCGACTTGATTAATGGGAAATTGTGTTACCGGCTAATGAGGGGGGTTGGTAGCAAATGGGCGATACGGATGTATATATTCGTATGTATATTTATATATAGATCTGTATAAGTATAGGAGGAAGCAAAAACAGGTGAAGCTGCTTTATTTGCGACTAAGCAATTTTTTGCAAAAATTCAATGAGAACGAGCTGAATTTCCAATGAAATTTTAACGAATTTCATATTTACAGTTAGCCCGGAGTGGTTGGGAGACTTGGGAGGACGCTGTCAGAAGCAATCAGGCTGCAGGCGATGCTTGGCAATATCAAAGAGCGTATTAACATGCAAAGCAGGGCCCACAACCGGAGTCAAAGTCAGAGCACAGAAAAAAAAATCAAAAGTAGTAGGTGTGGGCTGAACAAAAACCAAAAAACAAAACAAAAAAACAGACTGAAAAATAAAAAAAACGCGAACTTGACTTGCCACAGAAGGCGCAACAAAATTGAAAACCATTAGGATTAATGTTTAGTTGAAAGATTTGCGCGTTAAGCCATTTTTACATGGCTGCCTTCGGCTGCCTCCGATTGCTAATGTAGTTTATGTGTAGGAGTGAGTGGTTGGCGGCATGGATCCATGGATTCTTCGAAGGCTGGTTGGCTCTTTGGCTCCAAGGGAGTATCCCTAACGCTAACTGACGTTGGCTTCTGCTGCGGATGCTGTTACTGCTGTTAGGCTTAAGGCGAGACGCACAAACGACATGTAAAATGTGACATTTTAATGTATGCAAATGAGACGTTGAATTAAGCCAACTCACCCACTCGCACACACACACACAGAGAGGGGACGAGGAGACAGGATAACAGGAGAGATGGATATAGGAAAGCAAAAGACCTGCAAGGATCCCCGCTGGTGTGCAAACATTCACTTGGCTCCATATCCGTTTCCGCTGTTCAGCATGTCCCCATTCCGTGTGCTTTGCCTTTTGTGATATGATTTGAAAATAATGAAAAAACAGTTACTGTCTTCTTTCGCAGTTTTGGCCCCTTCTTCTTTTTAGCCACTCCCATTAGTAACCCCCTCACGTTCCAGTCTTGGCGGAAATGTCAACTTAACTGGCTGGAACCCCAAAAAATGCGACAAAGGGCAACACCAGAGATTATTGACAAAATATTCTAGATGAAGATCTTATGAAATTAAAAATACCCAGTAAAAAGTAGCAATAAAAATAACCATATTAATGAAACCTAAATATATATTGTTAATAGGATAATCGCTAGTAATAAACAATCAGAAATTTAACCAAATTCATAAATACGTATACAATAAGATATTATGTAAACAGTGTAACTAGCCATCTAGCCAGTTTTTCACAAAAAATAAGAAATAAACAAAGTACCCATAATAGAAAAACCCCTAGAGTGGACTTCTTGTTCAATTTATTAATTTTTATTCCGCCGGCGTCCCCCAATTTGTCCTTATCGGCCCTTTTGTCTTTCGCCAATGAACTTGTTCGATTGTTTTGGTCTTTGGCTTTCAATTTGTTGATTGTTTTCCTTGGGATTTTCTCAGGAATTCGCTTTGAGGCAGCTGGATTTCCGCCCACAGAAACAATGCTGTAAAAATGTTTGATTATGAAATGCGTAAACTTTTTGTTTCTCTCAGATTTTCTGAGAAATGCTGGGAAAGCATTTAAGATATTTGTTACTTCACTTGAAAGTTCATGGAATATTTCTTTGTTGGCGATATAAAAAGTATTGCTTTTTAAGTGTGTTGTTTGGTGAAGGGTTTGATTGAGAGAAATAACAAACTTTTTGAAGATTATAAATAGATTTTGATAATAATAAATATTAAGGTGAAATCAGTATATTTTTTCTTTCATAATAAAGATTAAATATGGTAATCACAAAGTATTTCCTAGTCAATTGCCATAGAACCATTAACCAAATATTCTATTTGAATAATTTAGAGCTCATTTGCCATTAACCATGATTATAAGCTGAAATATTCCCTTTAGTTTATCTCATGGGCAAACTTGTATAATTAGATCCCCCATTTAAATTAATGCTCCTCTCTTGACTCTGGATAAGTTAGGCACACATTTGCCATTAGTTATTAGCTTGGGCATACCCCTGGAGCAAATATTTGTAAATAAATAAAACTGAAAAAAGATGCCCACAATCCTGCCCTGGAATTAATTATGAACCATTTAAACTGTGCCCAAAAGAACCTTTTATGCATTTGGAGAGAGATTTATAACTCACCGATTAGGACTAGTATCACATGTAGGATATACCAGATCTGCAAACTCGTGGCCGCTGTCCTTCCTGTGGCCCATTTTCTCGCTCCCGGAGCCTGTTGCTCCACCCTCAGTTGCTGGTGGCATTGGTGGTGCTCAGTTTTATGGTGGTGCGGCAGCTGGTGCTGGGTAAAGGGATCCGCTGCACACATCTTTGCCTCCGTTAAATGCCCCAAATGAGCCACGCCCACACGCACTAATGTCTTTATTAATTTCGGTGTGAAAATTTCACTTATTTCATTTGGACATTAAGTTGTTGTTCTGGGGGTTCCCTTTTAGCGCTGCCTCTGTGCGGTAATAAAATGTTGGCTATTAATCACTTTTAATCGCGACGCGAACGAAAACAAGGGAAAAGTTAAAGGCAAAAACTATTAAAGGACCTGCTTGCCCCCAATTCACTTCTTCCATCATATGGAGCGGCATTGCAGTCAAGTTAAAGACATAAATTTTCAAGCATTTTGGGCAAAGATTAATTACACAGCAGCCTTTTCTCGGTTCCGATGCGGGAAAAGCGTGGAAAAGCGGAAAAGCAAAAGAAAGACCTTGCCACATAAATTCAAAATCCAGTTCCCACTCTCTCCTTAACCTTTTGGTTGATTTAGAGCGTCAGGAAAACGCTTGCCAGGCAATTGAGTTGGTGACTCGAAGTTAAAGTGGCAGGATGAATTAGAGTTTCAGTAAAAAGGCGAAGTCTTTTTTAAAGAATGGAGGAGAAATTTCATAAAATGGTCTAACAAATATATAACTAACAATGAAATTAGGAAGCATTTATCATACAAATAACTTTAATGCTTAATTCAAGCAATCAGATTGGCAATTAACATATGATGGTTTATTGCTCTTCATTAAATGACCATTCCAAGACTTTTGTTTAGTATCGAGATCGAGCCTTCGAAAATTACTCATATATCAAAATGCGGAAATTATGGGCTCATCTGAGAAATGCATTATATCGAAATTTATTGGCAATTTGGTTATTTATTTCCAAATTATTATTTTATTAATGACAGCAATTAAGGTGAATGAAAATTGGACAGATAAGTTGAATAATACCAAATTCAGGTCCATTAAGATGAATACTGATCAGAACAATAATAAATGCCAATCAAGCCTGAGGGTATTGAAATATATAAGCACTACTCAAGAGCATCTAGATAAACAAGAAATAAATGTGTTGTATTCAAAAAAAAAAAAGAAATGATGTACCTTTAAAAAACAGATTTACATTTGCTTGTGCTTTTTCATATTACAAGCATTTCGGCATTGTTCGGAATGATTTATGGGCTTTCACAAATCTAGCAACAACAGGGATAATTAACAAATATTTATAAATATTTATAAATATAAATATACTGTCATGCTCCGACAGCTAACAATAACATTCAACTTTTCCGCTCATTTCCGTGTTTTTTTTTTTTTATAAAACATTCCACTTCGTTTAAAGCCAACAAAGGCTGGATAAACACAAATAAATAGCTAACAAGTCAGGTGCAGATAATAAAGCAACAACACCAGAAGCTGTTTTTATAATTACAGCAATAATAAAATCGCGTACACCCGCAAAACCAACAACAATGACAAGTGGAGCGCCTAAAAATATGCACCACGAAATAAATGGCCAAGACCCAGCCTTATATACAGGACATTATATTTACTCCAACCCGCCCAAGCAACATAATTAGCCTAAATTGAAGCAGGAGCCAGAAAAGAGAGACGGCACAAGCGGGCAGACAAGAAAAAATGACAAAATATAATTAAAGATTAAAATGTTCTCTGGCTAAAAGTGGAATTTATGATGGCAAATTTTCTACTTGGAATTTTCTAGCGAGACTCGGTAAAGTCCTTATGTGTTTCGCTTCTCTTTTAATATTTGATAAAATTTACGCTAAAACGTAAATATATATGCATGTACTGGTATTTTAAAGATTTTCGGAGGTTTTCTAAATTAATATTACATCAACAAATATAGAGATGCGTTTGTGACATTTTTTTTATCAAAATTTCTTTAAAATTTGTTCTTCCTTTTTATTAAACCAAAAGTTAGTAATGTTAAGCCAGACTTGTAATTTTTAAAGGTTATTTTAGAAAAGGACCAACTATAAAAACCAATGATGCAAAAGTTGTGCCGCAGCTTTTACAGGGATTAAGTCTTAGTTTCCCCACTATTTTTATTCTTTTGGCTATTTTTAATTTTGGTTAGGTTTTGGGGTCGTCGGATGATTACTCCTTGTGTTCTACTTTTCGCGCTTTAATTAACCGCAACCGCAACAGTTTTCTCAGTTTTCCACAGCAATAACAACAAATGCTTGACAAATGTTTGCGGCACGCAACAAATGCGGCATTTCCAGCTAAAGGCTCAGAGATTTCTCATTTCCACGGCATGCACTTGCTCAGATTTGCCTTGAATTCGTTTCTGTTATTATTGCTGCCACACTTGCACTTTTCCGTTTTTATTTGTGTAGCATTACGGGTATTTTCCTCCTTTTTTTGTAAACACGATATTACTTTTAGTGGCCACTCACACACACACAAAGGCACACACGCACAAGAGGTTGGCGAGTGTGCGTGTTGTTCGGTTGGCTCAGTTTTCAGTTTCGGGTTTCGTTGGGCTCTTTCAAAAAAGAGGGGTTTGAAATAACGCGCGCGACAAAAATAACGTGCGTTCGCCTCAAAGTTGAAATTGCGACTAAAAAAAACTTAAGGTCGCAGAGACTAGTACTCTGGTGGCGCCATCGCACGGCCAAGCTAGGAAGTTTCCTTGGTAGAACGTCCTTTGCTAAGCAAAAGCGAGAGAGCGAAAGCTCTGTGTGAAATGATTTGCTCTTTTGCTCTCTCTCTCTCTCCTTTGTTTGTTCCATTCCCAAAAGTTACAGATAACAGGGCTAACTTTAACAGCGAACTTTCCTATAATAATGTGGTATAGATATGGATGATAGCATTAGGGACTTATGTTAATAAAAGGCACTTAGCATAACAGAGCTAAGAAATGTATTTCGTCTTTAAGTAGGCAGGAACCAAACACAGTATAAATTTAAAAAACTGATTGGTCACGAAATAAAACTGTTAGTGTTATAAATATTTATATAAAGGAAACTCTTAATTTAAACACAACTATAAAGCTAGCATCTTCATTTTAAAAATATTAAAAGTATTTAAGCCACTATTTTAATAACAGAAACTGCATTGAGCAGGTTAGTTAACAGTTATATGTTGGTAAAATATTCCTGTTAACTTGAGATATTTTAAAATGGTGCGGTTTCATAACAAAGGGATTTTTCGGAGTATAGGAAAGACTGTAAGGGACGCGCTTTTGTGATACTGTTAGTTGCATTTCATATTTGTATATATCTTTAATAGTAAAAATAAGTATGATTTTAAATCCCGCGATTTGTTTCTATTGTTAATTAATAAATCAATTTAAATGGATTATAAAGCTCACCCAAAGCCATTACTGCAGATAAGTTAAACTTCTTAACCCTTTCTTACAACTATTACGCTTTTATTGACCAACAAAATTTTCAAGGCTACCAAAAAAAATGCAAATAATGTGCACATTATTTTCTGGTGCTCAATTAAACGCAATTAAACGAAGGACGAAATAAAATTGTATATGCAAATAAATAAATACGAATACATAAGCGCAAATGAGTGTGAATGTGAAAATCAAATATAAATGCTGCTTTGCTTAATGAAATAAAATGTAAATTTAACTGTCACTGTAAACCACTTAAAAATAAATATGAAAAATTATCACAATATTTAATGAACCAACAGACCAGAAAGCCAAACTCCAACTGATGACATCGGTGCGGAGGGGTTGGGGAGTGGAAGGGTTTTTAAAATTATCCCTGATATATGACTTTATCTATGCGATGCACACAACCGAGAAGGGGGGAAACTGGGGGTTAAATGAGCGACTTTTGTTTGCCCAACAGCAATGACAATGAGCAAAAATGAAATTCAAATTGAAAATGAAAAATAATGCAAATAATTGCACTTTGTGCGCATTAATCGAGTTAAAGTTTCGTTTTGCATGCGAAATTTAAGAATGGAATAAACCGAAAACAAAACTGCAGACCTTTTCAAGGTTCAACTCTGGTTTTTTGGGCCATCTTGTGTTCTTCCTCCTGTATTTCCTGGTTTTATGCCCTTCCATATGCAAATGCTGACCACTGCTGTTGCATATCTTGGGTTCACTGAGAAAAGGATTATAAAATATTAATTTTAATAAAATGTTGAAAATGTAAAAAATGCAAATTAAGTTCACCAAAGAGAAAATGGATCCTATGATTATGTTTGAGGTACTAGCCAATTTACCAATAGTAATCCTTAAAAATTGGCTACTTTGAAATACACAAATATTCGCTGTGCATTTTCCCAGTGAAAGAACCTTCTCTTCTATCTGGAAACTCTGTCTGGGTCAGTGGCATTTCACTTCATTCCTGTGCTAGGTTGAAATCGGTGCAGCACTTGAAATTTTTAAGCTTATGTGGTACTCAAATGGAGCCTGAGCTATGAGAGGGTTAAGAGTTGGAAATAGGGGGCTTGGGAAGAGGATAAAGCTCTGCTCTCTGTGTGCTTAGCTAATGGTTCAGTCTGGCTTAGGTAGCCCTCGAGGAGATTCCATTCCCAACCAGAAACATTTGTGGGCGGCATAACCAAAACCTCCAACTCCAATAAAAACACTAAATACAGAAATTTAAATTTGGAAATTGAGTAGAGTACTTAAAAAAGGTTAAGTTTTGTAACGAATAAAAATATTTGGTTTTATATAACAAAAACTAAATGAATACATTTACATTTTATACATTTCTTTGTTTATGCACTTTTTAACACATATGTTAATATTATTTACATTTTTATAAAAACAAATAAGGTTAAATCAAAATATTAGAGTACGTTTAAACCCATCGTTGCCATTGTATTTGATTCTCTAGATGGATATTAATATTCCAAATATATTTTATATTATTTTTACCCATATCGATGACATAAAAAGTAGGCCGGTTCCCCCAAAAATCCAACTTTCACTGCCATAACTTTACCCGCAGCTGTCATAAAAAAACGCGCAAAAAAATATTTTTTTGGCTTGGCCCAAAGGGAGCTGAACGTTGGAGTGGGGGTAGGGTTAAGGGCACACACATAAATTAATACGAAATACACTTAAACAAGGGCAGCAACAGAACAAGAACGAAAAAATGGAAGAAAAACTTTTATACTCATTGATTTATAGCGTTAATATTTCTGCTTTAATGCATCAAATAAATTAAATTGTCTTACGCACCTTTCAGCAGTCGAAGAAAGGAAAACTTTGATGCCACTTCGAGGGGCTGGGAGCGTGTCTAGCAGAGCATTATTTCCACCAAGAAAAGAGCGAGCAGCAAATGCATAACTTCGATTTCGTAAAAACAAATAAATATTCATAAAAAATTATTCTTCTCTCTCCCTCTCACATTCACTTGTCTTATTCTTTCTTACTTCTTCGTTCTTAAAAAAAGCACTTTGCGGATCTTCAGTCGCCGCCGCTGTTTTGCATACCGAAGGTAGAAGTATGGGCAAAAGGCGTTTGAATTATAAATATTCATTTATGCTAAGCAAGGTGTTCGTGGGCAGGGGCATTGGAGGGAAGGGAATTTCTGCAGGTATATTTGGTGGGCGTTACCTTCGTCACGCCTGTTGCCTTCCCCCTACCACTCGTCCCTTTTTTGGTTTTGGCTGCTCCTTTCGCTTCTGTTTCTGCCTTGGCCTCTTTTGCCAACAGGTCGTATGATTGATTTAATTACGGTGTAAGACGTGTTTTTCGTCAGCCATCGAGGCTTTACACTTTTTCTTATGCCGCGAAGATAATAGTCTCTTCTTTTAAATTCTTAGGACTGGTAAGGAGGTAAAACAATCTATCAGCTTCTCAGAATTCACCGCCAACAAGCTAAAAATAATTATGAAAACGTATGATAAGCCTGCATTATAATCCATATAAAAATAATAAAAGTATCCAGATCTAAAATATTTTGTTAAGCCGATAAATATGTAAGCTTTCTTGCGAAAACTATTTTCCCCCAAAAACTTTCCTGCTAAATATCTGAAAATAATACTTCGTTAATTACGGATGTTGTTGTCAGCTTGCGGTTCTTTTTAGACTGGCGGTGGTCGAACTGCAGTGTTCTGAAAATTCCCGCTGGATATTAATAATCTAGGCAAGGTAGGTCATTAAACTCGACGCCTCCCCTTTTCCTTTGGCCAAAGGATTGCTTATCGCAAAACAACCAAATGTTTGAAATTTATGGGTTTCGCTCATTGTTGCTGCCTTCGCCGCTGCCATTCTGCCACTCTGTTGTTAATGCCGAATGAAAAGCTCGGCTAAGCGCCAACGCCCGCATCTACTCTTAATTTCCGTTTTCCTTTGTTGCGCCCACAGCATCGGATGGGCAAAACGGGGGCGCGGCACAAGGGAAACAAACAAGCGGCAGTCGTACTTCATGTAATCAACATTTTAATTGCGGAAACGGAACTCGCACACACACACACGCCCATCTAACGTGGCGTATGCGAAGTATCTGTTACACATTACGCATACGCAATGTATGCTTCAATGATGTTATTTTTTGCTTCGAAGCCGAGCAGAGAAAACATTTCCCTTTTTCCTGCCCACTCTGACAATCTCAAATCTAGTTTGCCTTTCTCCCTCCCTGGAATTCATTACATCAAATATAAAGAAAGTTTTAGGCAATTTGCCAGATATACCGGGGAGAGAAAAAGCAGCTAAAACTCGTTTCACTCCCATACCAGCGGCTCGGAAAAAATATACCCTCTCAAACGCTGCAGCTGCAGCATAGCTGCATGCTGGTAGCCTAAATCTACTTAGCTGATGGCGGTCGCTAGGGAGGGGAAAAGGCAAAAGGGGTTGGTGAGATGGCTAGGTAAAAGTAAACGAATTTGCGAATATTCAGCAGGCGTGGTAGCAATATCAAACTAAACTGAGGAATGCGAAAAGGTATCGCAAATGGGGTACTCAGTGAAAAAAAAACAAAATTTTGCTAATTAAGCCCGTGCTCTAGAGTCATAGGGCTTAAGGCCTATTTAAAGTTCTACCATTTTTCAAAAATAATTTAAAAAATCAGACTAAAATCAGAGGCAAAGATAGACGGCCAATCCTTTTTACATTGAAATATATTTGCCAATATTAACCCATAAATATATCTCCTCCAAACTCTCAGCTCAATTACGGCAGTCTGTCAAGATGCAACGACAACTTGCTACCCCTTCCTCTATAGAGACAGATATACTTCCCTCTCCTCCTGCAGCTTCTAGCCATCTTACTTTCGCCACCAATTGCCTTTTAGATGGCAAGCCAGTTTGCCGAAACACTTGAGCGACAATGGCAGGCGCCACAGCTCGGGGCTAAGCAATGCAGACGAAAGCCCAAAAGCCTCGAACCTCGATCCCAGCGAGTCCTTCAGCGAGGATGCCCTCCTACCAGTTTGTGCTATTTTTTATGGCTGCATCAACAGCAGCAGCAGCAACAGACATGATAAATTCTCTTTAGTATGCGGCATACATGAGTGATGATATTAACCAACAACTGGCAGCTTCCTCGGGGGTGAAAGCGAGTAACAAGGTAGACACCCAAAAAGGAAGAATCCCTTGAATCTGCACCTTTTTTCCACCCTTCATTTTTTGAACACGTAAATGTTCAGGGCCACAAAGAGGTGTTTGGCACACTGTCCATGGACGGTGTTGGTATTGATGGTTGCACAGAAAACTGGAGTTTTTAACTGGCAAAAAGGGAAAGCCAAAGAGGATGAGTGTCTAAAATAACCTCGCTGAGACGATATACACTCTGGTTAAATCAAATTAAGTATTAAGCTTTTAAGCTTTCTCTGGGCAAGATTTTAAAATGTTTATATGGTAAAATTCTATATTCTACAAGTTACAAAATTATTTTAAAAAGTATTCAAATTTTTTATCTTAGCTATCTTTTATTTATATATCAAACTTACTCATTTGTTTTTGTTGCGTCGACGTTTTTGTTTCCTCCCAATATTTATTTTTTAGTCATTGTTTTTCTTTTTTTTTGAGTTCTGCTTTGTTATTTTGTCCATCATGAGCTTCATTAGGAAATCCTCTTCCGCGCTGGTATCCAAAAGAACATTAGATTCAGAGCCAAGATTCAGGATTCGTTCGTCTGTCTCGTTAGGTTATGAAACCATAAGGAAGAACAGTGGAGACCTCTTGCCGCCAAAGACAGTCATCCCGGAGATTATATCAAAAGTTAGGCCATCACCAGTTGAGGTAAAAAAGGAAGCTAAGAACCCTAGAAACTCGAGAACTTTTGTGGAAAAGGCACTACAAGGAAAAGTGCCTAAAATAACCCAAAAGGAAGATGATCAACTCGAAGATGATCCCAAAAGAGCAAAGGTCCGTGGAAACTTCTAAAGAAGTGTCGCAGAGATTAGACAGAAAATTTAATTTTCGTGATCACTCCCCTGGGAGTTTCCATTCCAAAACGCCTGTGGATCGGTCGAGCTTAAATCATAATTCTTCAAACACTTCCATTGCATCTAGATTGTCTACATCATCGGGCAAATCAAAAGGAAGTGCAATGAAAAGAAAGTCATCGAGTACGGCTTACTGGGGTCGTTATGGAATACAACTTCTCAAATCTGAGAAACGACACAAAGCAGATATAGTAAAAACAGAATTCATGGATAAGGATAAAATAGAGGCTCATGTCATCGAGTCGTCTGATTCGAATTCAATAGACTTACCAACTATATCGGATTCTGATTCAAGGAAAGTTTTAACAAGTATTAAATCAATTTCAGATATTGAATCAAATTCGATGGAGTCAGATACAGAACATAGAGAAAAAACCCCTGAACGTGATGAACAATCTGATCGCTTACGATTCCTTAAGATTTTTGGTATTCTGCCGGATATAAGCACTCTGTCGGTTGACGGCAGTATGGAGATTGTTAAATTTTCCAGAGAGGATGGGAAATTCTTAGCAGCCGGGGAAGGAAGCCATAGGGCAAGTGAATCGAATGCTTTAACAGATCTTCAAGTGGAAAACGAGTACTCCGAATATCGAGATATAAAATCGTGCAGTTCTGATATTAGCATCGACTCTTTGACCGATAGCGATGAGGAAATTGAAAATGTTACGTTGCCAGATAAAGCATCAAAAGAGGATATAAATGAACGTCTATTGCGTGTAGAGCCCAGACAAACAATTATCGATGATAGTGATTATGACGACGTCCATATGGAAAATTTGGAGGCAATTGAGAATTTCCTAATTGCAATTATGAATCAAGTAGTAGAGTATGCCGAAAGAACTTCAGTTAGACTGAAACGCGTGCTGGACAAGGAAAAGTTGCTGAACGAGCTGGGTGAATTGACCCTAGACTATCAAATCGAATTGCATCGTCATCAGACCCTTGAAAACCTTTCGACGGAATACTATATTCGGCGTAAAGAGTTTGCTTGGGTTGCAGAACCGAAGAAATTTGACATGGTTAATAGGGAAAGGTTAATGTCCGCTCTGGTTGAACTAGATAATCGATTGGAGCAAATGAATCAAACCCAGAAGTTGTGCGAAAAACAAATTTACGAATTAAGCAAGGAAAAGTCTGCGGCCCTCGACCTGGATACCGAGAGAATCAATCATTTCAAAGAGAAAGTCAGGGAAACACTTTGCAAGGAAGGCTGGAATCGTATACCTCTTGTGCTCGATGATCTCTTCTCGAAAATGAAAAAGATCCGTGACGAAATGTCTTATGCGCGGGAGGAATTATTTTTTGTTCAGCACAGTTTGGAAGCCATAAAAATTGTAAGTTTTTTTAGTTATTTCAAGAGCAAGCTTGCTTTTCGCTGACCAATACTCTAAATTTTAGAAATCAGAGAAATTTGAAAATCTGGGAAATGGCCTTCGGGTTCTTGAATACATTTCCATTGATGCACGTAATCACGCCCTGGGACTTAAGCTTGAAGGTAATACTTTTCAGACACAAAAATTATCTACATACTGCTATACATAACATACAAATTGTTAAGTATTTTATGAACTATAAACTTATTTATTTATATAATTAAAGATAAAGACGTAGAGCTGACCCGAATGCGTCATGGCGCAACCTGCGCACTTCATTCGATGGCCCATTGGGCGAACAAGAAGAAAATGAATCAGGAACTGTTGGAGAAGATGAAGAACAAGTTGAAAGTACAGGAGCAACTGAAAAGGGACCTCAAGGCCTGTTTCTACAAGGAAATGCTTTACCGCGACCGGTTGAAAAAGGAAACCGACAAGCTGAAGAAAGCCGGGTGCCTGATGCATTATCCGGATTTAATGCGGGACTATGATGCAACAGTGGAGTACGTGCAGACCAAGCAGATGGAAGTCAAGAAGCTACGTTTGGAACATAATCGTCTGGAAAGGAAAATTTCAGAGGTGGATGCTAATATTAAAAAGATCTCTTCGTCAATCAGGTTCAAAATGAGCCTTGTTTCCAGCCAATTAAGGTTCAGCAGCAATCGGATAAGCAGAACAGGGAGTCAGCAATTTCGATATGGTTTTTAAAATGGGTTTTTAGAAAAGAAATAATACCTTAGCTTATCGTAATAATTATATTTATTTGTTTTTAAGTTATATATTTATGTTAGTTTTATTTGGATGATAATGTAACACCTACTGTAGCTAATTTGCGATCCTTATATCATTCCTATTGAAGATAATTCACACTTCTCTATTCTATTTTTGAATCCAGCCGTGGGCGGCTTTAATTTCGAAGGAATTTCATTTTCAGTAGCTGTCTCAGCCACATGTGCAAGGTCTTCCTTCCTTCCTCATTTCTACCTATGTTGAGCTAGGAAAACCACGCAGCGGGACACGTTCTGGCTGCCGTAATAAATAGTGGTCCTTGAAAGTATTTTATTTAGAGTTTTGAACTTATAATAATAAAAAACATATATTTTCATTTATTAAAACTCGTAACTTGTTAACACTTTATTTACTTAATTTATTAATTAACATTCTTAAATCATTGCCTTACTTTGATTGGTTTCCATTTGGTATAAAATTAAAATTTTAAAACAGATTTCTATATTATTTATTTATCCACAAAACATTTAACTTCTGGTCAACGAAGCATAGTATGCCACTGTTTAATACGATGTAGAGAGAGTCATGTTTTGCATCTTTTGGCAGCTGCCATATATCTTAGTTCCCGGGCCCTAAAACAAGACTACGAAAACATTGGATACATAGTCGGCACACAAGAGCATATATCTATAGGTGCAACCACTGGGAGTGTATTAGTCAGTGGTGAATTGGAGGCAGTATCTGGGGATGAGCCAAGCAAAATGCAGATGAGCTAGGAGGGTGGGAGAGGGAAAGTCAGGTGGTTGGCTATGAAGGTAAAAAGGGCATGGGTGTGGGAACTCCCAGAGTCTGTCCAGGCTCATGTCCGTGTCTGGTTTGGCCTGCTCCTTGGTATGCACATTTCATGTTGCACTTAAAAACAAAAAACGAACAGGTGAGCGCTGGTATGTTCGAGGCAAGGTTGTTGAGCGGAGGACTGTGGGGATGGGCGGTGGCGCACACAAACATGTGGCAAAAACTAATAGCAAAAAGAGGATGCACCAGTAGCAGCATCCAGCAAAAACCGAACCAAAACGAACCGAGCTGGGTTAATGGCAAAGGTGCTGATGCTGCTGCTCCAGCTGAATTTGCAGCACCCTTGACCCCGAACTAAGCAGCCCCTTGCCCATGACGCTTCACTCCTTCCCACCCTTTACTCGAGTTTTTTTTAGTTTTTATGACCAACATTAGAGGGAAGACAGGTGCATTGGTGCACTGATAAAAAGAGATCACCATATGGGATATATTGTAAAAATACTCAAAAAAAAACATTTAAAAATATTTTTAAAAACATTGGGACTTAAATATATTTATATCTATTTTACTTATCACCTATTTTTATACATTAATTCAAAGATTTCATGAAAAGAAAACTTTTTTTTGTCTCTGTGTAGATTTGGTAAGGGTGTCCTTGTGTGTGTTTTTAGCACGCATGTTCCGAACGCTTATCACCGTCGTCGGCTGCTCTTAAAGGAGGTTAGAAAAGTAAGATTTTTTATAGAGGGGAAACGTGTGGGCTGAAGAGTTAAAGGTAAAAAGGGATAGTTAAAAAGGGATGGTACGGTATTCTTGGCAAGCAAGATGAAATTCCGTTAGCTAAATTCGATTTTGCACTTGAGCCGCTTACAGACCAGCTAATGCAGAGGAACGACCTTCTGCCAATTCTCATCCCTTCCTTTCATTCAACTACTCTACCCCTCTGGTAAAACCAACTTTTGGCCTCGCTGGCCAAGTGGAAGTTGGGGAAAAAAATTTTAAAAAGTGAAGCTAATGCGCTTAGTCAAATGGTTGAAAAACAAGGCGGTCGATTGAAATGTTCGATGCAGTTAATGGGAGGTTTAGTTAAAAATTTTTATATTAATGAATGTTTTTGTTTCTGCTTATGTGTAATAATTTGCTATTGTTAAATTTTCTGCAATTTATAAATTCGTTACGAAAAACTTTAATTATTAAATTTCTAAAGAGTTAATGTTTTTTAATTTTTTGACATTTTCTATAATTTTTTTAAGGTAAGTAATTTCGAAATCATAACTCTTCGAGACACCCTCTACCACCAGTCACATCTTTTTGACGGCGGCATACTTTCGCACACTGAAAGCAATTTGAGGTACTCAGGAGCATAGTCACATTCTGACAGACAGACACACAAATGCATTTATGGTGGACATATGCCTTGCACGTTGAAATTTGCATCTTCAATCTTCAATTTGTTCGAACGGAAGGCGAGGCTAAATAGATATATTTATCTATGGCCCGGCATCTATAAGCCAATTTCCGCTGCACTATATCCGCTATAACAAGGTATCCGCCACTGCAGTTGCTGTTTTGCATTATTGTATAATGCCGTTGTTTCAGGGATGTCGCGCTCAATTAACGCAGTTTGGCATTTTTGGAGCACTTCCCTTGCTGTGCATTTGCATTCCTGTCAGCAAAATGCAGATGAGATCTGCCGTTACTGTAAGTGATTTCCCTACCAAATACTACAACAGAGAAAATGGTAAAAATGGTTACAGTGGATGCAAAAATAGAATACCATGTTCATTCATTTCCAACATTTTCAGATTATTAGATACATATTTGGACTAGTTACTAGTTACTAATATATACTATTATTTTCTATAATAATTTTTGTGGATAAAGACTTAGCTATGATTAAACTCTTGGCTTAGAAATACTGTTAAAATTAAGAATTTAACACAAAAGCATGCTTGAAGCTGTAATCAGAGGCCATATACATTCGCCACTCACTGTACGCCGTAAATTTGATTAAGCTGCGCAGCGATTTATGCTTGGAAATGATTTATAAATAAATCTAGCTAACTATTTGCCTGCAACCCGTGGTGGTTTCGTCAGAAGGACGAAGGAGGACGTCAGCCCCTTCCTGTTGCCTGCCACGCCTTCTCCTCCGGTCCTCACATGGTGCATGCCACTTAAAGCGTGCGGCACAAACACACACACATACACAGAGTGGAACATTTTGAGTAATAAACTCATTTCATATGCTGACTGCTTTTTCATTTCAAAACTTTTTTTTCGCTCTTTCACTCTCTTGGTTTTCCTGTTGTTTGCCTCTTGTTAGCGGGAAATGGTGGAAAAAGGAAATGGGGGCAACTGCTAGCAGGGGTCAAATGATATACGAGTATGGGCTGTGTTCCCTTTTTTTCCAACTTCAGTTTGGAACCCTTTTTTTCAGCTGTTGTTCCTTGGCTTTGGCTGGAGAGTTTCTGGAGTTTTGGTTGTTGTTTCGTTTCGCTTTGCTTGCAACTTGCAACTTGCATGGGAAATATTAAATATGCATACGCTAAATGCAGTCGACTGCGGCATCCGTGACTGCAACTGCTCCCGTTCCTATTACTGTTGCTGTTTATGTAGTTTTTTACACGTGGTAATAGGTGAGCATGGTGGGTATATTACTTCTAACGAGTCTGTTACAAAACGTATACTTATATTTGTTTGCCTCATCTCTTAGTAATAATATATTTACACTGACTTGTACAAGCTTTAAATTAATATAACATATCATTGGATATGTTTTAGTGAAGCTTTTGTGTGAATATACTTTGTAATAAGATATTCAACATTTTAAAATTATTTTATAGAGAAATAGAACCAAAGTATTACAACATAGATCAACCCAATACCAAATTATTCAACAACAGAGAATTTTCCAACACCTTCTGTTGCTGGGTCTGTGCTAAATGTAGGTGCAACTGGCTGTCAAAATTCCTGACACAGCTATAATGAAATTTGCACAGACCACGTCGTCGACCATTCCCGCATTCGTCCTTTGCCACTATCGCCAACAAATGCTCACCTCATATCACCCTTTTTCACCCTATATATCGTACTAAACACAGTTGAGTGACATTTTAATAAAGTGCTCACTTGTTCAATTAAATGCCTGAGGCTTACGGCAAAAAAAAAATGCCTGAAACGAAGTAAGAACAAAACACTAAAGTGCAAAAGCAGACAAACAGTCAGTCAGTGTGTCACTGGGACCATGTGGCGTATACGTAATATTCAAACTGCATTCTGTCGTTGTCTTTTGTCTGTCATTCGATTGTGTTTAGAGCTAACAAGAGATGGTTGGATGGCATGGATGGATGAATGTCTGAAATGATGGGTCGATGGATAGATGGATGGTTGGTTATTTCAGTGCATTAGCTCATGGGTGGTGGAGTAATGACAGCTCTCTGGGTCATGAGACATCTGTAGCTCGGCAGGCTGGTGTGCAATTACTTGGCTGCATACAAATAGTTTAACAGGTGACAATGGTTGATAAGTAAATGCTAAATACTATATAATTGGAAGAACTGCTTAATGATAATACAAATTGTTTTACATCGATTAACGTTGAACAGAATTGGAGAGTTATAAGCCTACCTTTTATTCTGTATAAAACATACCAAAAAAAATCAAACATTTTTAAACGATAGATTTCACAACTTTCAAGAATGTACGTGAAGTATTTTTTGCTTCCTTGCCATGCTTATTATTAAATTTATTATATTTTATTGGATTTTGATGCGGTTGGACTTTCAAAAATTTGATTTGGAACAACAAACCATAGCTGGTAGAAAAAATCGGCAGCAACTGTAGAAAACTCAATTAGAGAAAATGCGATTTTGGAAGTACGTCTTGGTTTACGGAAAATTAAATTATCCAAGGAAAATATGTTTTTTTTTTTCGTGAGACAGCGCTTTAAGTGCGAAAGTTGCTGCCATAACCGAGTGCAAACTGCAAAGTGAAAACGGCAGGTGAAATGCAAAAACTTTTACCTTCGTCCACTTCGACAACTGTCAACATTCTGTGAAGAAAATCGGGGGAAAAAGGAAACCAAACGGGAGCATCAACTATGAAAATTGGCACATCAAGGGCTTTAAGCGACAATCGTTTATCTTCGGGCCTGGTTGGATCTGCTCCCGGATATATTTGAATATATATATGTGCATGCATTACCCACGACACAGGAAGAGAGAAT